TTTCGGTTTAGGGTTCAGGGTTTCGTATTTCGGCGGCTCCGTTGTGGTATTCGGGGATGAGATCTGTATAGTCTACGCATAGGAGCAGACTACGTATCAACTGCGAACTGCAAGAACCGACCACTCACAAGCTGAACTCGCTTATTGGCGCCTTGCGCGCCGAGAACTAATGAAGCACTAATTAATGCAGGGGTCTTAATGATTACCAATACTTTTTTGGGTGTTCCGTACTATATTATATTTGATTCGGCCCCAAAGCCCTATTCGAATTTTTAAGGCCCCTACATTAACCAGCAAAATCGAAGCCACCCTAGACCGCATTGTTCGAAAAACGGATGCATGCATGAACGCCGAAGTTCTAGACCCCACATGCCCAACAGCCGCCGAACCTAAGAAATTCAAACCCATGCTGGATGATGGCAATATAGGGGCCTAAATTCTTACCAACACTATTGTGGGGGGGGGTTCCTTCTTATGATTATAGTATGATGGGCCCCAAAACCCTATTCTAATGACTAAGGCCCCTATATTACACGCTTCTGCTGATGTTGATGTTGATGCTGTCAAAAGCTGCAAAACCAACAGCAATAGAATGATGCTTTTCAGAAGGGGCAACGGAACATGAGGGCTCGGGCTCTCGGGTTTAGGGACAGGGGTGACGATTCTGGCAGATCGCTCTTGCGTGTTACGCGGTCGCCTTCAGGCGACAGGGAGAGAATCTCAAGCCGTAAACCGTAAACCCTAAACCCTAGCTTCAACTTCGAAGCACAGTCTCTCTTCAGAGTTGCGGGGATGGGATGTCGAAGTGTAAGGTTTGGGGGGGCCAAGATTTCGGGTTCCGTGTGGTGCTTTTCGTGCCACCCGCACAAGCTTCAAGTCAGCCAAAACCCCAACCCTAAACCCTAACTTGAAGAATTATGCACATCCGTACCTTGATAGAGAAGTAGGCTACACTATACCCCCCCAAAGCCCAGCTCTGAGCACGAAGGTCCCCAAAACTCGTGAGGTCCCCATTTAGGGTTTAGGGCTTTTAGGGCTTAGATGGGTACGGGATTTAGGGCTTAGGGCCTACAAGGTCTTATATGGGTTTAGGGTTTAGGGCTTATAACAGTTTGGGGGTTTCGTTGGGTTTAGGGTTTAGGGCTTTTGGGGCTTAGATGGGTACGGAATTAGGCCTAATAGGGGCTACAAGGGCTTTTATATGGGTTTAGGGTTTAGGGCTTATAAGGGTGTAGATGGGTTTAGGGTTTAGGGTCTCTTAGGGTTTAGGTGGGCTTAGGGTTTAGGGTCCCTGTCCAGTTTTTGGTGGCTCTCTGTGCGGGCGTGGGGTTAATGCTTCGGTCTAGGGTGACCCACCGTTGCATCTTTGTGCCCGAGAAGGAACCCAAAGACTCCATGTACTCAATAGTCTATACTTAGGGTTTAGGGTTTAGGATTTAGGGCTTAGGGTCTAGGATTTAGAGTTGAGGGTTCAGGCTTATAGTATATACTTAGGCCTTAAAGGAGTTCACATATAGGTATGTTAAGGGTATTGGTGCATGGAGCCTTTGGGGAACGAGGCCTAGCTTCACCGGTCGAGTGCGATCTTTCTGCCAGGACGGCTGTGGAGTCAAATCCCGTGCTTTTGCTTCTCGGCGGACAAAGAAAACAGATCTTCAAGTTGTGAGTCCGTGATCAAGCCTAATCCCGGTGCGTGTGAGCCCCATACTTCCAAGTCTGGTCTGGCCAACTTTCTCAAGCGGGGGAGTCAGGTGTGCCCGGAAGCACGATGCCTTGCCCCAGATTCGGAGGGAACTTCGGACGTAGGTGAGAAATTCACGCAAAGAGCCATTCCAAAGGTACCCTGTCATTGCCCGGGTTTCCGCCCCCAATGCCAGTGCCCCCGTGTATACTCGAAATTCCCTAAACCCTAAACCCGCTGCAAGGTTCATGAAGGGGACTCCAGCGATGCCTCAGCGAAGCCCTTAGCTGGGGGGAGGGTTTCAGGCTTGGGGCACCAGGATCTTAGAGTTTAGGGTTCTAGGTCTTAGGGCTTTGAAACCATGAGGATTTAGGGCTCTTTTAGTGCGCCGGATCTTTGGGGCCCAAGAACCTCAACAAAGGTTTCGATAGGGCCTTTTAAGCCTAGACCCGAAAGCTTGAACTCCCAAACCCTAAGCCCTAAACCTTAAACTCCTAAACCCTAAGCCCTAAACCCCGAACCCTAAACCCTAAACTCCCTAAACCTTAAACCCGAACCCTAGACCCCCTTAAGGCTAATATAGGGGCTTAAATAAATAGCCATACTGTTTAGGGGGGGTTCCTGATTTATTATATCTATAGTAAAGTGTACCCCAGAACCCTATTGTCATTATTACAGCCCCAACCCTAAACTCCTAAACTTCAAAACCTTAAACCCTAAACCCTAAACCTACTTCGCTCGCCTCAAGTAGGCTTCCGTAGGCCGTACCCGCGTGCAGACGGAAAAGAGCTCTCCAAAAAAAAAAACTAAACCTTAAACCCTAAACCCCTAAACCCTAAACCCTAAACCCTAAACCCTAAACCCGAACCCTTGAATCCTTTACGGGGTGGCTTCCGAAGGAAGCCTCGGATCCCGTGAGGTGCGGCTTCTCGGCTCGAACCTCGGGTCTCCTTCGCGAGATCGGCCCCTCCGCCCTGGTTCAGGGGATTAGGGGCTTTGGGGTTTAGGGGTTTTGGGGTTTTGGGGGTTTAGGGCTTTAGGGTTTGGGGGTTTAGGGTTTAAGGCATAGGGCTAAGGGAGTTTTACGGTTTAGGGTTCAGGGTTTGGGTTGTTTTTTTGTAATGTGGGCCTTGGCGTGTAGGGTTTAGGCTTTGCGGGTTTAGGGTTTAGGGATGTTGCCTGCATTTCAATCAGGGGTTTACGGTTCAGGGTGGGATATGGGGTTCAATGTGGATGTTGCTTTTGTGGCCGGCATTGGGACTTTGTTTGTTTTGTTTTGGTTCGCGCAGGTTGGTTGTTGTTTTGGTGGGCTTAGGGTTCTAATGGTGTAGATCTCAATGATGGCTCTGGGTGGCGAAACAGCGAGGTTCTCGAATTCTGCGCAGATACATATTTCGCGAGTCTCATTATTCAGCTAGCCCCAGATAAGGGAAACAATTCCCGCTTCTTCCTGAGGAAACCTCGATGCTCACCCTAAAGCCTCCATTCTGAACCCATATAGGGCTACCCTGAAACTACGCCCTCAATGGTTGAGGGATTTCCTGCCAGGCGTGCCTTACGAGACCGTCAACGTCTTGGATGAAGCCAACAACCCGGGCGTTCGAGAGGCCCTCTGCAACCGAAAAGGCTCCATGTACCCATAGAGTAGAAACTTAGGCTTTAGGATTTATAGGGTTTAGGATTTAGGGTTTAGGGGATTTAGGGTTTAGTGTTTATGATTATCGTATGTACTTGGGCCTTGAGGTATACCTATAATATAGGAACCCCTTTATATAAGGCCAAAGTATACACTATACGGGCACATGGAGCCTTAGGGAGCAAACCCTCAGCGCGAAGTTGTAGCTGGACTTCCGGGTCCTAACTTCGCAGCATAGTATAAGGGCCTCAATAATTACCTACACTATGTTTTAGGGTTCCTTATTATAGATATAGTATAATGGGCCCCAAAACCCGGTTCTAATCATTAAGGCCCCTACGTTAGCTCCCAAGCACCCAACTGAGCTGCTGGGGTTCGAGATATTGAAACCCTAAACCCTAAACCCTAAACCCTAAACCCTAAACCCCTAAACCCTAAACCCTAAACCCTAAACCCTAAACCCAAAAAAAGAGCTGCAAGTCTCTTGGGGGATCAGGGCTCGCAGGTTCGTATTGTCAGCCACGGTCTAGGCTTTAGGGTTTGGGGTCGAGGCTTTAGGGTTTTTTTGGTTTGAGGTTTAGGGTGTAGGGTTTGGGGTGTAGGGTTTAGGGTTCGGGGTTTAGGGTTTATAGGGTTTAGGGGCATTGGGAAGATATAAGCACCGAGCCCGATACGTTGAATTGTTTCATGGCATCCCTTCCGACTTCACCCTTGCCGGCCAGCTCCACACCAAACTCAACAGCCGCAATCCCTTCTTAACTGCCTCTAAACCCTAAACCCTAAACCTCACCTAGTGTCTGCCTGTGCAGGCAGGACGAGTCCATCACACTTTAAAAAAAACCCTAAACCCTAATCTAAAACCCCAACCCTAAACCCCAAACCCTACACCCTAAACCCCAAACCCTACACCCCAAACCAAAAACACTGATTCTACGTCGTACACCTCACACTGGAATTCACTTGCTTGGGATTAGGAAGTTTCGGGGCGTCAGACCACCGCATCTCCACTGAGATGGTTCGTTTTTGCATACATAGTATTGAATATATATATATATATATATACACAAATATACACATATGTATGGCAGATATACATATGTGCACATATATTTCTATGCAGAGAGAGAGAGAAGATTGGTTCTAGCAGATGATTGCAGTGCTGTCTTATGACGTGGTGCTGAGTGCTGCCGACAGACAACAAAACCTGCGAGCTTGCTAGGCTGTGAAGGAGTTCGGGCAGTGGCCCACGTTGTGGCCTCAGCGAAGGGCTGAAGGATTCGCGATGTTGTGGTTTAGGGGTTAAGGTTTGGGGTTTAGGATTTAACCACTTGAGGGTTCAACAGGCTGGGTTCTATGACTGTAGACCCATAATCTGCGAATGCACCGGACCCTCAACTTGCACCGACCTCCTGAATCCAGAGGCTTACCATAGAAGCCTCCATGATGACCAATGTCAACACAACACGGTTTAGGGTTTAGGGTTTAGGGACAAGTCCTTACTGTTCCATACTATAGGTATACCTTGAAGGAGCCCACAACCCAGAAGACTCCGGGGTGTCCGGGAAACCTCATGAACCTTAAACCCCGAACCCTAAACCCTCCACCCGAATCCCTGAACCACAAAACAGTAAACCCCTAAACCCTAAACCCTAAACCCCTAACACACTGCTGCTCGCTGGCCATTCGGTAAAGAAGGGCAGGAGGGTTCTGCTTGCTCCCGATGTGCGGTCTTCGGACCGTAAGATCGGAACACATTTCGCACCGGGCGTGGCAATGCTGGTGACTCGCGTGTGCGGGTACGGCCCCAAGACCACGAACACCATCATTCGGGCGATGTGGTCCGAGAACAGCGGCGAGTTGACTGACTACACCGAGTTCAAGCAAGTCCTCGTCGACAACTTGAAGAAAAAGCATGGGGACATCTGGTACGAGAAAGCCTACGACCACGCGAAGCTCTTGTACCTCTTGTTGACTCTCCTCTTTCGGCCCACCATCGTCGCCGAACAGAAGCTCGTCTTCATTTCCAAGCACGGACTCTGTTCGGGAGCTCCCGGCCATTCGATGGTCACGACCTTCGTCTATCAAATGCTCTTCGAGGCCTATGTCTCCATCTCTGCTCCCCTGAGGACGAAAGACATGCCTGACGAGCGGGATCATGAATTCCTGACAAGCGATTTTGTCGCAGGCTCCGTTGAGGGGTTTCTGTCCTTCTTGGAGGCCAACGGCTTCGCCCTTAAGCCCTACGTCTACACCGAAAACGTCAAGCCCAGCGCGGTGTTTGCGGTTGAATTCTCTGGTCACGTCCTGATCCCGTTCCGAGAGCTTGAGGAGCACACTGGGAAGCCCCTCAAGCGCCTGACGCCAGGTATGGATCCGACACCCACGAAACAGAGGATCATCTTCCCCACCCTCGACATCGCAAGGCTGGCGACTGGTCTCAGGTTCGCCCAGAGGGACAAGGACCCAGCCATTGCCTTCTTGAGGATGGGACAGTTGCTCCTTGAGGGTGCCATGCTCTACCGTCCTCTTCGGGAAGCGACCATTGCTGCCATGGCCGAGCTGGATTATGGCCACAGTGTCCTCCTCGATGTGCATCTCTGCCTCCTGGATGAATGGAGCACGGATGCTGATTTTGTCACTTCCAAGTCCTTCGCCTCCGCCTTCGTCGATTTGTGCGTGAATCCGACGGTGGCGAAGTATCTTTCAATCGTCCACCCAAAGGTCAGCAATTGGCCGCTGGCCGTGGACACGTTTCCGTTGATCCATGACAATTCCTTCCTGAGCCGTCGACGGTTCAGAAAGAAAAGGACGGCATCCGAACGCGAGGAGGCCGACGACAACACCCTCTGGTCCTGAGGGTTGGATTCGACTCTGTGGGAGTAGCTGAGACCCGGGAACAAGCAACTAGAACTAAGAGTTAACAATGAGCAGTACTTTAATGTCATTCGGACACGGGTCAAATGCTCTCACATCTGCATTTTCCACACATTTGCTGATTTAAAAGCAGCAACCCTCCACAACTAGGTGTTGAACCAGTGTCTTAGGCGGCACTCAATTAGTATGTGTTTTAGTCAGTCAGCGAGGCGGACTCTTGCCGA